GGCTTAAAGGAGCAGTATCGGTAGCTATCATCATCTGCCTTCTAATGTCCAAAGAAACTTTGATTTCCCTGCACCAGATGTATTATTTTCTCTTGATGGCTCGGTGCTCCTATTCCAACTTCTTTTCACCTTTCGAACTAATGACACGCTTTTCGCGCTTTAGACCGCTACGTTCTCAAACGCGTAACCTTATTCCCTTACTTCATTTGCATGTACCTCGTCTCAAGATCACATTTTTATCAGCCTGCGATTGACATTACTGTTAAGGTTCTCTGTATCCACCCGCTACTCGAACTTTGCAAACTTAGTCATGAGTTCTGTCTTGTGCATTATTCCGTCCTATTGAACCACGGTTACAGGATTATATTACAAATTCCTTTTGTCCCAACAGTTTTCTGCTTTATTTATATATATTTCGAGCGACGTAATTAGATTTATCGTAGTTCCGTCGTTACACCCCTCTTCCTCACTAACAACATCAAAATGGACCATTATAGTGTACCTGTACTTTGCACTGACCATGTTTCTCGACCTTTAACTCATTTGACATAATTTGTTGAATTCACATCCTTCCGGTATTGTTTAGCTGGCTCTAAGATTCCATGCGCTCATTTCCCAATGCACCATCAGCCTCGTTATTATCCTCATACCTTTGTGTCCTTCCACACAGTGTGTGCCTTAAAATACCCCCTGCCTTCCCAATCAATCATTATCCCTTGTGTGTTGCCCCCCGTGACTCTGGGGTAGAGACTTTGACTAACCTCCCAAAAGTCTTGGGATTCGAATGGCAGTCGCCCGGCTGATGAGTGCACTACACCGATCGTGGAAGTGTACGGTGTATTTAGGCTTGCAGCACCTCAGATTGATCCACTTCAGCTATGGTTCACTTCTATGTGAATCGCGGTTCGCATTGAGATTGTGCCTTGAGGTCCGTCCACTCAACGAGTACTTCTTTACTTTTATCCTGCTTCAATCTCGGCCAACTCGATCGGTGTTGTTGTCGTCAGATCACCCGATTTTGTGGTTGTTCACAAACAACTCAAGCGGAGGTGACCCATTGTGGTTTTCGTGGGACGCAAATCGTTCGGTTGATGGAGTTTCTTAGTGTTCACTAATTCCTGTTGGCATTCGCGAACATTCGTTTTTCTCTGTATACTGAAAATAGTATTTTTAACATTTCTACCAATGTGATTGTACAATTATCATTAGTATCGTGCCCCACCGCAATATTCAGTCGCTACGGCCGTTACCGCTTGTTCTTTAACGAACAGTGAACCAAAATCACTTATATTTTGAAGACGCTTTTGTTCGACGCTTCTTATCAAATGGATTTGTATTACATCCTACAAATATCTATTTTCGCTCGCGATGGCCTGGTTGTTACGACACATTTACAGTCCAGAGCTTAAATTTAGCAAGTAACGAAGCGGCCACATCTACACGAGCTGTTTCGTTCCCTAGGATTTTGGACACTACCTGCGTGACCCCAACCTGTAGTTTTTGGAATGTAAGGCTCATGTATCCGGACGCACTCTCATTCGGATTCGATTGAATTCGAAATCCGTCCTTCTACGAATTGTCCTCACATTACAGCTATTAGCTGTACCACTCCTCCATTTCGTCTCGTCTCCTCGATCTCCATTTCATTTGGGTACCCCTTCTCTACAGCATCCACTCACTAGCTAGCTACCAATTCCTAGATTCGTTTTTTATGCTTGAATGAAAACATATTTCGTGCCGCAAGCAGTCTAACCTCCGAAATGGAATGTGTGAACGTGAGACCTGCTTTACATGGTAATGGGGCTTAATGACTCAACGGAAACCGGTTTCCGGTGCACCCCTACTGAATGGTTTTCAGCCGTAAATGCTGTTTTCTCTGGCCCGATGTATCGGCCGTCAATCGTTACGTTAGTGCAACAAGTTCGCGACATTTTCCTCTTCCCGCACGTTTATTTCTCACGTGTCCCTAATGTTGCAGATGTCTACTTCTACTTTGGTTCGATTATCCGCCACGCTTTACTGTACATGGACCTGTGCTTGGGATTTCGTGTGCGCACTGTGCTGCCTGCCCTGCTTGTGTGCATCCGCTTGCCGTATGCAGCACCCATTCTAGTTCGATCGCTCGCTCGCTCGCTCGCTCCCTCCCTCCCTGAGTTTGCTTAGTAATTTCGATCGATTTCAGGCGCGGTGGCCTGCTAAACTGCACACGTATCCATTTGCTGCATGTGATATTTAGCCCCTTTATTCCAGCTGGCGGATGATGCGAATTATGAGGAACTGTTCTCGTCGACAACAGCTACTCGTCACGTGTGTGCAAGTTGTGCGACTGGTTTTTGTACCTGTGTTTTGTTGCACTGGATGAAGTGCGAGTCGACTTTTGAACTGAAACAGATTGTTTCTACGGATGTTCACTGGGTGATGTTGAGTTCCGGCCGCGCACTTGATTGACCTGCATGTTTCGAGTAACATGTTTGTCATCTCTTGTGGGTGTTACTTTTGATATGCTCATATACAACTGAAGCTTTAACCACGCTTTTCACTCAAAATGTGCTTTCCATCACTATACGTGAAGTGGAAGAGGAAGAACGGTACAGCCGATTAAACAATTCAGGTCTTTTTAAAGTTGATGCCGCTCAGTGCCTCTACTTCGCTCTTTTTATGTTAGCGTTATCACGTTTGCCACCTGACCCCTGAACAAATTTCTTTCCTTTTCATGAATACTGATGCACTGCTTCGAACGGTGTTTTGTCATAGCTGCTAAGTATAGAGATTTCAGTTTAGCATAACCTGGAGAATTTATTAAGTTTTTCAAATTGGTTTGCAAATCAAAATTCCCCCACGCGCTCGGAAAAGCATTAGACGACCGTTTTGTGCTATTAGCATCCGTCAGTAGGACACATCCCTCGGTTGCACCAGGGAACGAATCCATGCCCTCTCGGCACAAGCTGCTAGTGCCACCAGGTCATGGGTAGTGGTGACAACTAGTTATAACTTACATGCTAATTGTGGTAGCGCGACTTATCCTCAACCGCCATGCAAATTAGCAACTTTTCAGGGAGCAGGATTTGACTTTACAATCACATTTTTTCTATGTACGATTTAGCAGCTATGCGAGCAAATGTTTAAATTACTTTTCATTGATGGTTTTTGATGTGATTTATTGAGTTATTTACATTAGCCATAAAGTCAACTGTTATTCCGAAGTCTGCACATTATACCTCCTCCTTGTTGTGATCCTTCAGGCTTTTTCGTATCTCCTCATGAACGAAATCCGTATGCTTGTATGCACTCTGCAACCTATCTGTACGCTTTCGAACATGTCGCTTTTTTCTCTATGATATCTGATTCCACATTTCAGTTAATTCCCCTGAATTCTTTGTTGTTTCGCAACTGACGCCTTCACCCCACGACCACAAAAAGAAGTCCAAAGACGAGCCGGAAAGAGACTTATATACATGCAATCACATTTGCTTATATAGTTTTTAAGGCAAATTGAAGGGAAACCACTAAATTGCACTTGAGCCAACCAACAGAAGGAAAACGTCAAATGCAACGGGCGAATAAGCAACCGTGTAATCAAGAGCGAATCGCATATGTCCTTAAAAATAGCATCATGGGACCCCAAGCGTAAAGCGAACATCCATTTACAGTGACGGGCACTGGCCAATCAGAATAACGAAATGTGACGTTTGAACAAATGTCACGAAACAAACGAGAATAAGAAGTGTATCCCCAAAAATTAAATACTAGTACAAAAATTGTGTGACAATTAAGTATTTCTTTAAGATAACCGAGTATAAAAGTGATGGGGAAAATCGATTGAATGTGTTCTTGCAAATGGCACTGCTGTAGATGACACAGAGATGAGCGTCCAATAACATTCTGATTGGAATATCTTTTCCTGCAGTCGCTTGTCATTTTAGCGACATTCATTCTCCTTAAACACTTGTTGTTAACTTGTCGTATGGCCCTGAGGAACTGGTTATTTATACCATAGGTTTTCTCAGTCATTTATCTAATCGAGGCTCTACTCGCCTAATCACAAGGAAATAAGGAGTCTTGATTATTCCGATGTGTTTGTTGATCCAAAAGTTTGTCCCAATGGCGTACCAGCCAGATCTCTCTCGTGTGTTGTCATTACGGCCTATTTTCCGCAGATAGGCTTTCGCCAATATCGCGTAATCTTGCCGCGTTAATCAGCTGTTTATCGCCGTGTAGTGTTGACAAGGTCTCGATATCTTTTGTATATCTGTTCAGGGTGTTTAGATTTTTTACACCTAGTCTCCCCTCTGTTTTCCTTTTTCATCTGTAATCACGGCCATATGTTAGTGCAGCGCCGGTTCTTCGTGCGCTGATGTTTTGCGGTGGATGACGATGATCGCTTAATCTGTTGCGATTGTCACCAATCATTTTCATCCAGTGTTTATATGTTAACTGCGAGGGCTGCTTCCATATTTCGTTTGTTTCGCGTGCTTTCTTATCGGCAACCTGACAACTGATCAGCTTGGTGGTCGAAATTGTACGCCACTTCGAGTTCACTTCTGGTCTACACTCTAATGATGATCGGGTGGGAGTAGGTCATATTGTTTCATCGAAGCAACTTAAAACGTTAGTTCGTTGATCACATCCGCTCTTATTGATGAGAGTATTGGAAAAATTTTGAGCTTTTTTATGTAAATTCTTCATAATCAGAATTGTGATGACTGTCTGACCGAGTTTGGGTGCAGTGGACTTTGTCAAAAACATCGCTTTTTTACTATACCTGACATCCAAGCTGATGCGACGATGATGGATATTTTTTATTGCACACATTGTTTATGGTTTAGTTACTAAGGTGGCGTCCTCATTTCAACGCTTGTGAATTCGGTGCCTTCACTCGCCTTCCTATGCAGGCTTTTGCTGGTTGATGGTCTAAATTTATCAAAACTGTTACCGTCTCTCATGCTCGTGATTCTTTTCGTTTTGTTTCATTAAGTCAATGCATGCTTGTTTGTTTGCAGGACATCGATAGATTTCTGTCATGCATTCGTTCCGGTATCCCTTGCCCTGGCGACATTGCATTCGTCGATTTGGCCGCAATGCATCCCATGCCTTCGCAATCAACTTGCCTGGAATCTGTGGCTGAGAAATCGGCCACATTCGGTGACTCCAAATTGCCACCAAATTTTTACGCTTCAGTAAGCGCGGCAGATTTAGCGGCTTTAGAGCAGGCAGGATTGACCAAGGATTCACCGAATGATGGACCTATGTATGCGGGCACATCTTCGTTATATTCAACTTTCTCCGCCGTTGTTAACAGTGGCCTCGGAGCAACAAGCCGGAGACCCAGCATCAATAGCCGTCACAATCCCGGTAGTCCATCTGGCTATGGACATGGAATCCTACGCCGGTTCTTCTCTCGTAGAAGTCGAGTAAGCCCATCATTTTGATCATGCAATCCACTTCTTTGTTTTTTGGTGCTTTTCACACCACTTTTAGCTGATGATTCCCATTCTCCTTTTTTCTCTCCCACTTTGCTAATATTTTCCTTCCAGGTTGACCAGCAACGGACTGCATACGACTGCACCCTCTGTTATTGGTGTATCGTAATCTTCTATCAAATCAAGAGCAGTTTAAGTTCACATCACGTCCTCCAACGTACGCAGTGTCAAATCTGCCGATAGACGGTACTGGTTCTCACTCTGCACTCACCTGGAACGAGTATGTTCTCCACCCACGCAGTACGTGTGTGGTACATTAGTGCCTCAACTAGCAGATGTGGCTATGCGCTCCTCTGGCATTACCAAGCCAGTGTCCCAGAGTATTTGCAATGTAACATTTGCATTCGGCGAACCATTGGAGTCAGTCTACCACAATAAGTCCCAGTAAAGAGCCCACGCGAGTTGTTCGGCTTCGCTCTTTTTCACATTAAACAGCATCGGAAGGCGCAACACTTGTTCCTTGTTTCGGTGTGCACTATGAATACAGTGCTCTACCGGAGTGAAAATAAGGACAGTGACTTTATGTAGTGGTGAGTCACGTCACAGCTGTGCGGACATTTGGGCCTTTTTATAGGGCGAACGCTTGCTTGACGAAAACCCACTACGTCCTGAAACACTGCCGCCGAACAATTGGCTGGAACGGGATAAACTCGAAGCATCCTGCTGGTTCTTGACCAAAAACCAGTAGGTCGAACCGCCGGCGTCTGGTGCTTTTCCGGAATAGCCTAAGCCTGTTGATGGAGAGTGAACAAGATGAATTAGCTGAATTATACAAAAATTCTCAATCGTCCTCTGTAGCCTACAACAAAATCTGTCCGTTTACCTCTCAGGTCCTCGTGCCGTGCCTGGGCGAGGTGGCAGTGGATGCTGGCATCCAGAACTCATGGGGCCGTAGCCCAGGAGTGGTCCGCTGGGAAGCGTACCACCGAGGAGACCCAGAAGGTCGCACCGCCGGCGTGCATGGTGCTTTATCAGACTAAATTATGCCTGCTGTTTCAGAATGACCATGATGAGTTAGCCGAGTTATACCAAGATCCTCACTACTCATCAGTAACGTATGTAAAATCTGTCCGTATTGTTTTTAAGACCTCGTGCGGTGCCGGGGTGCTATGCGTAAAGTCCTATCTCGTGAGGCTAGGCGCTGTCTTTTGCACCTTCCGTCACTGGCATGGCAGTGGAAAATGAGCCGGACCATTTCATAGTCAACAGTTAAATAGGCAGGTCCGTTGTTGTCAACCATGGCGAAGTGGCAGTAGTTGCTGGCATCCAGAGGTCATTTTGGTTGAGGCCGGCAGGTGTCAGCTAAGAGGCGTACCACCGACGAGACTCAGATGGTTGAACTGCCGGCGTCTGGTGCTTTTCCAGAATAGGCTAAGCCTGTTTATGGAGAGGAGCAATGATTAATTTGCTGAGTTATACTAAAATCCTCACTGCCCATTTGTAATCTAAAAAATCTGTCCGTATTGTTCTTAAGTCCTCGTGCCGTGCCATGCGTGCCGCGCCATGCGTGAAATCCTAGTTCGCGAGGCTAGACGCTGTTCTTTGCACAGTTTGTAACTGGCATGGCAGTGGAAGATGAGCCGGGCTAAATCATAGTCAGCTGTCAATTAGGCAGTTCCGCAGCTGTCACCCTTTGCGGATTGGCACTAGGTGCTGGCGTCCAGAAGTCACGGCGCGGTGCCCTATAGGGATCCGTACGAGGCATACCACCGACTAGAGCCGGATGGTCGGAGCGTCGTCGTCTGGTGCTTTTCCAGACTAGCCTAAGCTTGCTGCTGAAGATTGACCATGTTGAGATAGCGGAGTTATACCGAAATCCTCTTTGCTCATAAGTAATATTCTCTTTTGTGTTTTAATCCGAATAGATGGCCAACATCTGGTGCTCACTTGCGCATCTTCTAATGGTTGCCAATAATTAGCTCTTTGGATACGTGTTATTCTTTTTAGGTAACACAGATCTGAATTCGAATGAAATTCGCTACTCGGATTGTTCAGGGTACATCTTTCACTATATTCCTGTTCACACACCCAAAATATATTTTTTTTGGCATCGAAAGTACCGCGATTTCTCATAGTCGGCTGTAACTTACCAGCATGTGAACCGGTTTTCGAAACCACGCTTACACAGTCATCATTCCGGCCGGCTTTCTACAGTGATAAATTGTTAAGCTGTTCTCGTTCCCTCATCGCTTTTTCGAAGAAATCATTTAAGCTTAACGGTTTACTTTAACGTGGTTAAGAGCTAACCGTCCGCTGAGTTACAGAATATCGATGGCATCGCAGGGCTGCGATGAGCATGTCTTGACGCCCTCACCATGTATCATCGTTGAAACTGTAAACACTTGTTTGCTTTTAGATGCTTCTGGACTGTTGACTTCTTTCTACATGATTTCATTTAACGGGACAGTTCAAGCCAATCTTTCCTTTCCTCACAATTTCGCTTGGATGATTATTGTTCAGTTGTGCTTCATGAAACGTTTCCTCTTGCTCGTCACATTGAGATACCACCGAAAGACTCGTCCCGCTCGTTTGTTTCAATTTATCCGGTCTTGTTTTATCTGTGCTTTGGTTTTGTTGTTGTTGACCCTGATCTTGTTGACAATTTACAGAACTCTAGCCTTCAACCATCCTTATACCTATACTATTTTTCACGCGCGTCTGATTGAGATAGTATTCAAAACGCGCTTTGGAATTGCTTCCTTTAACAGAACTGGTGAAACTTTCCTCATACAAATCTCTTGTGTTGCTTATTTAGCGTCGTACGCCACGGCCTCCCTTTTGTGACACAACTACAATTCGTCGCACGCACTCCCATTCTGAGTCAACGAGCCGCCAGTTTTCGTCCAGGGGCGTTGGATATCTAGAGACGAATTTGCCTCACCAACCTGCTTCACTTCATTTCACAAGTGACCTGCGACCTACTCGGAATACTAACGACTTTGTACATCCAGCTTTGTTGGTGTCAGCGTTTTCATCTATGTGCCGACGTTGCTCACTGCATGTGAACACGCTTCTCTGCATATGATGCTTATATAATCGCTTATATGTGTTTATCTTAATTTGGTGGACACTTTCTAATGTAGCTTCGATGTCACCCTCTCTGTTTTCCGCTGTGGTACGTATCAGTATATGTCGATAATTTTGTCTTTTTTGTCCTCCCGTTTAGAGTGTGACTAATATGAAACCCAGTTATAATGGTGCAGGGGTGTCGGAATTGTCTCTGGCAAAAGAAAGCTGCACGAGGTGAGTGCTGGTTTTGTTGACCTGAACTGTCTTTACGAGCCCCGTTACCAAACGGGATTCTGCCTTGTCCCTAAGACTGCACACAAAACACAGTAGAAGCAGTTCTTTCATACCGTCAACTTCGGTTTCAGAATCTCAGACAAAATCAAGCCTTTGACATTCGCTACGTACCGTCCGTTGTTTAGGCTCGGTGTCAACAGCTTGTGAGGTGCGCGAGCGATTACTAGACGATGATAGTCCGGGTAGTTTGTTGCTACTACAAATAAGATGGAATAGGCTGCATTATCTCAGGCAAATGGTACCATCGATCGTCTACTGAGACTTCTGTTTTGTCCACAGATGTTGACTGGTGTGAGGTTCGAGAACGTCACACATTATTGGATTTGCAGCAGGAAATGAAGCGACTAAGGACTAACTTAAGCGCTATCAGTCCGTCTCATGTTCCACTCTTGGGCTTCTCTACTCTGTGTGTAGCTTGAGACATTGTGGGATATGGCTGGCAACCAGCACTAGTGGCTTGTTTGCTGTCGTCCCCTGGTCGAACTGTCCGCTTCCCGTGAGTATGACACCAGGCTATGTATAGGGTCACGTCACCCTCACGTCTCTATGTTATTGTTGATGCATGTTTATTTTAAATCTTACGTCGCAAATGCTTCTCACACGTTCGCTAATTTTATTCACCCGGAGCCAACAAACAGCCGAAGCCTTGGACGTTGACCACTTTACATGCAATTCCCTTTGACTTTGTGGTTTTCAATGCTATGAACTACTGTTTTTTTCTGCTTATTCTAGAGTCGAGGTTCTGCTCGGTGACTGAATGTCACATGCGAAGAACGCAGTTAATATGCTATGACTTTTCTTTCCAGAGATTGGTGCAAGGGGTTATACACTTATGCTTATTTTTCGCGTCTTCAAAACGCAAGACACTATCGTACGATTGCGATGACATGTATCCTTGCTGTCTTTTACATTTTCATCTTTGTAGAACGTACAGAAGCCTTGTTGGAAGCAATCCATCTAGCCGTGTCCGGGATTTACTAGATAGCAGCGATTTTTCCGACACTAGCTTCGAATCCGGTGATAACCAAAGGAGAGACGAAAATGCAAATGCTACGACAAACGCTTACGCGTCCACTTCTGTCCTCATTGGAATCAAAAAGGAAGACATGTTTGGCAGCGAAGCACCGGCCTCCAGCCCACAGGATCAACCGTGCCCTCACCACACTGCTCCGTTAGCGGAACCCGAGCCTAATCCCTTCATACAAAACACTCAGCCACTTGGCACGGAGAGCCAGCCGGGTGTTGCTAAGAATAGTCAACATTTGTTAAATGGACATCCTGTCTCGAGGGCGTATGATGAAAACTTTTATCGGAGAACCACGGCGGATTTGCATGCAAAGGCCAGAGAGAATGGGTGTCGATCTCCTCGCAAGCACCCCAGCCCAATTGCCACGGACAAGAGGATTCCTCACCCTTCTTCAGGGTCATTTGTGAGACTTCCACCACTAGTCATCGCGCAAAAACTTCAGAATTACTGTGCTGTACGCACTGTGGATACCCGACCGAGTTCAATCGGTAGAGTTTCTGAAAGTTCTAACCCCGCAAATTTTTCAGGCAAGATGGATAGAGTGGATGCTAATTCGCGAAACAAACCAGGCTCATTTGAAGTCTCAGAACAACCAAGTAGTGAACATAATGCCAACTTGGAGGCGAATTCCGCCACCTCATCGCCGTCTATTTCATACGATCGCCATTCGAATAGCAGAACTCGACACGGGCCAGATGAACACTACTATCCTCGCAAATCCGCAATTCGCGCCGGCACTTACCATGAGGCAACGGTTATCGTGGGATATTGTGTCGCTCGATACGACTTTTCAGGTAAATATTTTATTAGTCTTGTTACACTCGCATCGAAAATCCGATACCTCCACCAATTAAACGTAAACTTTTTCACTGTCTTTCACGTATACAACTGCTCTCTTGGTAACGGCTATTAGCCCAGCATACGCGCCAATCGTACCAACTGCGAGTTATGTCTTGTAACGTCTCGAGCTAAACACAAGGCGGGTCATGCAGACCCCAGCCTTGAACGTGAGACAGACCAACCGCACCGAGTTTGGTCGTCAGTGACTTCATTTCCCGCTGCCAAATCAACTTTTACCGAACTAGAGTCTTACGCCGCCATACATCTGGCAAACAAAACAAGGTCCTCCTTGGTAAGCGGGGACTGGGCATGCGTAACACGTACCCAGGCCAACGCAACTTCTTCATTGCTGCGGGTGCTTTGGTGTTATTGTGACTGCACACGTCTGCAGAGTACTTTCGAACAGAATAATAGAAAACGCTATACGTATCGGCATGTGCTTCGCACCTCGAAATGCTACCCACTGGGCTATTATACCATTGGTTCCCTTCGTCACTTGCAGTTGTGTATAGGCTCACCTACCTGATTCCGCTGAGGGGGGGGGGGCTAAATTACCAGATAACCATGTCACTGCGCATCTTTGATCGCATATTCATGAGCAGCATCGCTGTTATCTAGTAGGATCACCGAATAAGCAACGCAGATGCCCACTACGTCGTCACCTCTCGCTCCGCCTGTGCTGGTTAATTCATGTTTTCCACACACATGCCCCCAACATGCCTTGGTACCTACTGCTTGTCAATACTGCCTGGTCGGATGGAGCCTCCGGGCGATCAGCTGATGACAGCGATAAAGCATGGCAAAATTGACTGAAGAGTTGGGTTGGGCGGGTTCATACAGTCCTGTTGCATGAGGATATGCGAATCGACTATGTTACGTATTGAGCACGCCACTGTATAGGGCTCGGTTTCGAACTCAGTGGTGCTCGCCTCATAGCTGTCCAACTGAAAGTAACCGAGCCTTATTTCCCAAGAGGGCTTGTGCGCTCCAGCGTTAATCAGTTCTTTCCATATACTCTATGGTAGGCGTCAAAGGCCCAGCGTTCTATTTAGTGGTCTCGGTTCTTCGTGTATTCAATGAGAACCATTGAAGCTATTACAATAGCGCCAAAGGCGATAAAGGTTGGTAACTGGAGGTAGATATATTTGTTTACTATCAAACTTTCGCGCCCCGATGCTAGCCGACGTCTTCAATCACGAAATGCGCCGTCTGCATAGTAGCACTATGACAGCAGGGACAGATCATGTTTGCCTGCGCAACCAGCTACCCTTGTCAGTATCCCCAGCTAGAGGACGGTAGTTGTGAATATACTGATCAAAAAAGTACAGCAATATAGTCGTTTGCCGGATAAATGAGTCCAACAAGCGGACGTACAAGTGCGTTATCGTTGAGTATTGAATAAGGATTGCTTGCTAAAGGTATGTTGATTGCTTGGTCGCCTTATTGGAGCCTAGTTCACGGGACCTCGGAATAAAATGAGTTTAATACGCCTGCACGTCCTCTTGTGCCAATTTTCCGCGGAGGAAAACATATTCAATTGTCCAGTGGATAACCCGAATTGAACCCAGAGGACGCATTCAAAAGCGTCTGAGCCACGATAGAGAAGTCCCGCTGGATCCCGTGTTGCTACCGGCGATGGAAACACAAGCGTCTTGTTGGATTTAGTTTAGCGATCGATTTCTTGACTTCTTTTCCTCCTTTCGATCAACCTGGATTGTCCATTGTAGACTACCTAATGCTGAGAAACTAATACCAGCAGTCCAGTAGATGTGAGCGTTTTCCAGGAGTCAATCTAAGCAGATGGATGGTTTCGTCTTCGAATCTCTAGTGTGTCTCGATATTAGCCTGTTGACAGTCGCTGCTTTTAGCACTTCTAACATTGCACAACTATTAATGCGAAATGTTATTGGGAGGAGACAATAAACGAGTTTCGATCGGGAATTATGGAAAAATACTTTGTTTTGGTCGGATGGAAAAACTAGCAAGTAGCAGTACAGAGCCAGTCGTAAGAGCACCACTGACTTCGCAACCGCTCCATATCGAATAGTCTTCCTTCGATGAAGTGGGCACTTCTTATGTCCTCATCCAGAGAGGTGGCACGCAAATCCACCATGCAGCACTTCGTGCTTACTTGCCGTGCCATTTCATTGTCATTTCGGGACTTGGTTCAAATAGGCTCAACACCTATCGTGCAACCCTTAGGTAGGCGATCCAATGCGACGCCGGAGAGTTTGTGATCAAACGCCCATTGATGAACATCAGCATTACTAACACATTGCTGACGCTAAACCTGGACGGTACAGCAGTGGTCAAAACCCGAAGTTGTTCAATACCGACAGCGTAATGACGTATCCCAAGCTTGCAATTACACAGGTCACATTATCTTCGTAGAATATCGAGTCATTGAGGAGCTTCACGATCCCTGACGATGAACCCATCGAGCTCTTTAGTGACTCGATGATTAGAGGAAGCAAAGCCAATTCGGTGGATGAATAAACAAGTCACTTGGAGTGGTGGTTCGGTTAATGTGCAAGCTGGTGATGTATCGTCCCTGTCCAATCGCAGTACACGATGCAGAGCGGGTGCCAGAGCACGCAACGCCTTATGCTGGCCTTTCCAGCGGCGCGTACCTGGGAACTGGATCTGGCTGCAGGATATCTGCATCACCCATGCACATCAATCTTGTCGATTGGTGTGATGGTAGAGTATTCGCCTCGACTGGAGCAGACATGGCAGATGTTCGTGACCGACTACATCGGAAGCTGGATGCTACTAACCACGCCCATTCTTTACCGCACTAGTACTTCATTGTCATAACCATGTAAGGTTGCGTAACGTCCGATATCTCAGCGAATCTGACCAGCAGTATAAATACCTGTTTTCACTAAAACGTTGAAGGCTGCTTTTCTTATTAGCCATTAATTCAAACCAAACTTGCTCATCGTCCGACGGCGACCTAATGCAATATCATCATCAACAGCAATAAGTCAGTACTCTTAACTTCATTACCGTACAGCCAGAATGACCTGGGGATTGGGAAATAAGAGAGAGAGAGAGAGGAAGGGGGCGTGATGTAAAATATGAACACCCCGCCTACATCTTGCCAGCAGCATACGGTCACAAACAGCTGGCCATTATACGAAGATAGGGCGACACGGGCGAAACTCCTATTTTGTGATAATTATGTGATACTGCCTGCTCGCACTCTGCGACCAGTTTCTTGCTCTTTTTCCCTCATCAAGCAGGTATGGTAGGTCTGTGACACGAACCCGGGACTTGGGGATGTGGGCCGAAACCGATACGGTCCCAATGACCGAGCTTCATTTCAAAGTGCATTACGGGTTTGATTTTAGCCTGCGCGTGAAAATCCATTCACACAACGTATACTCCAAAATGTGCCATCCAATCAGTTTCTTTGTAGCATTCACTGCCCTGCGTCATAATCAGCCATTGCCCCGCAGGTAATCCGACTAGGAGACGGCAACAAAGGTCTCACTAATGTCCCGTAAAGTCTTGATTCATGCACAGGTTGGGTCGCATGAACTCCAGCCCGGAAGGCAAGATGGACCACCAATGGCACCCAGTTTTGTAATCAGAGCCCTCACTTCCCGCTGCCAAGTCAACTTTTGACCACCTCGTACCTTGCATCACTCAATTATAGGTAAACAAAACAATGCCCCTGCGATAAGCGGTGATGAGGCATATGTATTACGTGCCCACGCCAGCACAACTTGTTCACCGTAAGGTGCTGTTCCAAGGAACTTGCCTGATTATCACCCGTCTAAGTAAATCATCGTTACGGATACGCTGATGCCATCCGACACCAGCAATGTTCCGCAGGCAACAATGCTTTAACGCGCGTCAGACCAAAAAGGCCAAGTTACGCTACTATAGAGAACGACGGTCTTCAGTGTGGCTTTGTACACACGGTATTTCAGACCGTGGGAAAATCCCTTCTGATGCCACAGATATTGCAGGTTTGAGAAGGCCTTAGCAATACGTGAGCTACTAATTATTTCTGATATATTGTGTGCATTGCTGCAGGGCGGGGCTTACAGCAAATTGTCAAGGCAGCACAATGTCCCAGCAGAACACGGAGACGGTGGTCCGGGATAAAGAGATATAAAAAAGCAGTGTCATACACGCTTAATATTCTGCGATTAGTCGACCTTGAAATGTCTCGCCATGATAGGACAAATAAATCTGCGGTTGTTCAAAATCACGGGGTTATGGATGATGCTCGACACTTATGGAAATTGTGACCGCACCTATCTGAAAATCGCCTCTGCATGCGCACTGACACCATCTGCCTCTTTTCTATTCGTAAGTTCGTTCCATGAGGTTTGCGTCACAGATAGCAACGTCCATAACATATGCGAGCAGATCGGGTTTGATAAAGGACCTCATAGTGAGTATCCTGTATTCATGTGTAATCCGATTACCCCGACGGCAGATAGCGATCACAAGCTGTTTTGCGATGTCTTCATACCTTTTACATCGACCATCGTGGGTGACTGCACATGATTGAAGAATGCGTGAGACACTATGGTCGAAACCACAACGGTAATGGATAAGGGATATTGAGCGAGGTGGTCTACCCCCTGGCTCGACGTGTCTTCCATGAGACGACTCTCACCCGCAGCGGGATCCATCGTATAAATAGCCGAGGGACGATCTTGGCTGGCTCTGAACCGGAGCAGGAAACAATCGACAGAAGATAAAATCGCTGTTCTCCAAGCCTCCTTTGCAGAAGCCTTGTCGAGGACAGGCTGTTCGGGCACAAAGATGAGAACTGTGGCAACGGCCTTCACCAAGGCCGCGGACTTCCCAACTGAATGGGAATTCGATAGATGGCGTTCCAGGTGTAATTTCCGAAGAAGTGGGATCATGGTGGACAGAGATGGTATCCCGAGACCGAAGTCTTCCATAGCAGAGTGAAAACATGCAACCGATATATCCCTGGACAGCCACCACCGCCATATTTACTGGCGACCCACCGTAGTCGTGTTCCTAGACATCAAAGGGGCTTCGATTAGGTTGATCAATGTGCCCTTTTGGACTGTCTAGTAAGGGAGAGTGTGTCCGGGAAATATGTAAATGTCATAAGAGCGTTGTACGCGCATAGTTTGAACAGTGAGAGTACACGGCAAACCTTCGCCACCCTTCAATATATCCAGCAGTGTTAAACAAGGTTGCCCAAAGTCACCTTTCGTCTTTTTCTTCGCCATTGACGAAGTCATGGAAACGGCGTTCGCCGGGCACGACTTAGGTGTGGAGCTGCTTCCAAGTGACCGACCTCTGGACCTGAAGTATGTCGACGACATTGCGCCCATCTGTGACAGCTCACAAACGTGCCAAGCTGCACTGGATAAATTAGCTCTGGCTGTTAGTCGTTTCGGACTACGCTTTGCACCCAGATAAGCAGGGACCCATTTCTGCGCTGACCCTTGGTGGTGATCAGTTAAAAGTCGTCCAGAAATTTAGGTATTTGGACAGCCATACTAGCATCCGTGGGATTTAAGATGAGGTCACGAACCGTATAGCGAAAGCTCGGGATGCTTTTGCCAAATTTCCGCTACCTGTGGCGCTGGCGTGACATCACTCTCGTTCTAAGGGGCAGAGTTTACAATGTAGCCGTCCGTTCAGCCCTCCTGTACGGTTGCGAAACCTGGCCCATTAGATCAGCCGACATAAAGGCTAGTTACGTTCGAGCATCGCTGCCTTCGAAGCCTAGCTCTTGTCTAGTGGGAATACCGCGTGAGCAATGAACGTGTTCGATATCGCGTATTTGGTGCAGGAAGAGCGAGTGAACCGCTCAGCATAATTATATCACGCACCAGGCTCCGATGACTGGGTCACGTGGTGTGCATGTCAGCCCACCGAAGCCCGCATCGTGCGTTGTTTGCACGCCCAGGAAGGGGAGGCCAAGCGATGACTTGGTCTAGAGGAATGAAGTCCCTCATTTCAAACTTGTCGTCAGTTGGTGTTTCCCGACTGCCCGGCTGGGGTCCGAAGGACAATGAACACTTTTGGTTGGATACACTTGTTGACATGGCTAGGGGCCGACCTCAGCGGCGTTTGTGTTTTTGAGTTTTTTTGTCCCTCCACTCCCCTTTAGCATCCCTCTCCAACAACATTCTCAAACTCAATGCATACCGCACTTTTTGCATTAGGTTAATTTTTAGCCTTTGTGGTCTGCAATGTTTAATCTCTTATCTTTTTTGTATTGCGGCACATTAGCTGGAGTGTGTTTCTCACCCTCGGCTAACGTGTATTGATGTTGACGATTGGACAGCTTCAGCCATCCGCGCACATGGAAGCAAACTAATGTATCCATATTCTTTAGAGTATAGCGATGCGCTACCACCACCAGAGAGAGCCTGTGAACGTGACTTGATAGTAAGAAGCTAGGAAATATTTCCAATCGATGGTATGTCTTCAGGGGAGCTCGGGTGGTCTCTTGAGGCTGAAAGCGTATTTTTCCTGGGAATGCAGGCGGTAATTTGCCCTTCCAGTTGAACGGAAGGCCGAGGCAATTGAATGATCCGTCCGGTTGTAGCGATGAGTCGAGATGTGTCCAAAGCAGTAGCTTTTGGTGCTGTCGACGACGATATTTGAGTGTGATCAATTTCAGTTAGCTAATTGATGGACCGATGAGATGAAATTCTTCATGTGGCGTCCTGAGAGGATCCACCAAGGCCGCCCGGTCCAGGTCAAGCATGATCCCATCGTCAGCATAAGCCACGTAGTCTGTAGGATCGGTGGGGCAAGATCACGGTGATGTTTCAGGCTTATGAAGGGCCTCGTCCATGGTTTTTATAAACAGTAATGGGAAAAGCGCATATCCTTGCCGTGGTGTTCGAGCACATGGCCTGTAAAATGGTAACACCCCTCCGAGCAAGTATGCCAAGGTAGATGAAACGACTGACTGAATCGAACGCACTTTTAGGATCGATGAACGTCTTGTTCTAGCATAAACCGCAGTGGCCTAAACAACCTAGTCATGGACGGAAACCGGCCTGCTCTTCTATTATCACGGATTACAGTTCCACAGTGAAGACACGGATGAGAATTAGAGTCAGTAGTTTCGACACTACCTGTGTCAGGCTGATATCCCTGTGGTTAGCGCATTCGGTGCGACTGCCGCTATGACGCATTCACCCTGGCTAACTAAGATGGTCGCTTCCTTCCACACTGGTCAGTGCTCTGCAGGGTACCTCAACTCCATCTTTGCATAGCGCAGGTGCAAATGAATCCGAACTAGCAAAGCTGCGATGGCGCTTCGGGCTTCTGCTTCCGATGGAGCTTCTATACCAATCGACCGTGACTCAACCCACACCACCTAACTAGGAAGAGGCCCTTGAACTGGTGATCAACTTAACTACTATCGAAAGCGATCCACTGGACAGCGTTCTTTATTGTATATCGATGCACCTTTTTTGTCCTTGATTATCCCACTGACGCATATGTTCCTGGGACTATCGGTGTAGATCATTTGGCAGTCTGTGGTAATTGCCCACTGCTCGGATCTTCCCCATTTCCGTCCATGAGGTTGCGCTGTCAGCGCACGGACTGTGTTTCAACTCGCGCCTAGTAGTCCACCTGATCACATTGTGCACTCAGAGCCAGCAAGTTTTTATACATTCCAACGGGTTTACGAATACATGTATTACGCTTCTCGACGAAAGTCATGGGAAATCGACAAAAAGAAAGTAGTAGCCCACGATGGAGCTGCGCCGTTTGTGGCGATATAGTCTATTTGGGTTTATCGCTGGTCAGCTATCGGATGATGGCAAGTGGGACAACGGCGCCCACTGTACCTGAAGGAAGTGTCACTAAGAAACAGCTGGTGCTCGGCATGCAGTTGCGAGACATAGTGTCCAGGCGCATAGAGTTCGTAAAATTACCACCTGACAGTCTATGAGGTCAGGTGCATTCATATTTCCTGCAACTAGAATGTTGTATAAACTAGCTTGTCAATTTCGTGGTACGTGGCCTTGCCAACCCGGTATTCTAATCAGTAGCGGATAAGCGGCAGTCACAAACGACTTAAAAGTGGTTGTAGTCTTGCTTCGTGCGTTAGCCATGTCTGATGTTACCGAGCTGGTTGCCCACGGGAATTCAATCGACGAACTGTTCCATATGCATCTTACTATGCGATTCCAAATCCCGGTCAAAATCAGAGGTCAACGCGTAGAAGCGCAAGCGTGTTGGAGGATCAGCTACCGAAAACGAGTACAGGTAGTCTGAAAATCAAGGAATATTTATAGCTCAATCTAGGATTGGTGTTTCGGAACAGCTAGGTGGGTTACCTTGATTGGCAGTTCAGAACCGTTAGCCAATGTGAAGGTAGATGCGTGGTTTACGTGATGAATGTACCTGAAGCGACTTAGGCTCCGACTGTACAGTATTGGCTCGAGACGTTTCCTTTTTGAAATGATAACTTCTCCGGGGAGATTTTACTTCCTCCCAGGCACTAACTATGACATCCTCGGAGCTAAAAATGAGATCCATCTCGGCTTGGTCGCTGCATCAATGTTTCTGGATGTTTGTAACCAGTAGCGAGAAGACAGATTGGGTGCGGTTATTTTGGTAGTCACATGAGGACCATTGATTAGTTTCGGACAGGCAACACAGGTCGACATTTAGTTTGCCCAGTGCTTCACAGTTTTGAACGCTACCAGAGAAACGGGGTATTGTGTGCTGCTAAGGAATTGTTTATGACGTGAGTCCGAAGGTGCTGCTGGAATGCAGCTGCAGTTTCTGTCAATGATGCCGGGAATTATAGTATGAGAAACTGATGAAGGAAGGAAATGATAGGACCGACATGTTTTCGTTTATTCGTTCTGCTGTGTACGACAGACGAGAAGACTCATTTTAAGTTGCACGACGATCGACGCAAGATGTAAGTGGACGTTTATGATAAATTCATTCAGTCTGCCAACGAACTTAGTGAATGTGTGGCGTCCACTGACAACTCAGGTCCTCTTGTACCATCATTTTAGGCACCATATTTGAGATATTCCACTCTTCTGTCCTCATTTATGGTATTTATTTTGCTTCGGCCTTCACATTTCCTTGTCACTGTTTGCACCTACTGAAAATAATTCGTTGTTTGCTGCTGGGATCACCGATTGAAACCGCCAAAAGCAGTCTCTGAAATCATTATGCGGTCTGCGACCAGTGATGTGCCTGTTGGTGAGTCACATCTGTTGACTACAACAGTGACCTTAGATACACAATCTATAGCTCCCAATATCTCCCTGATTCTACCGCCAAATATGATCGTTTTGATTTTCTAAGTTGTGGTTGTTAATACACTATATTCGGCCGTAAAATTGCGTTGTAATCTTTTCCCCCCACAGCCGAGGGCTTCGAGTCATGCTATCTGCCCTTCACCGCCGGAGAGAAGTTCTACATGGTGGCTCCGTCAGCTTCCGAGGATACAAGTCAGTGGCTGCACGTCATGCGATGTACCACACGAGAGCTAGGGTATGTGCCGACTGGTTTCGTGGAGCAGCAACTTTATGCACAACCATCGGTGCTTCCCGCACACGCCGTTTCCGGCGGCGAGTCAAATGCTATCTCCGACCAAGATGTTTCCTCTCGCGGCGAAGCCCTGTTCTCACGCTCCAATGTGCATTCCCCAATTGTTCAAGCTAGAACACACAGAAGTCCTACAATTGGTAGCCCTGTTTTCACTCGACTGGCCAGCGTGTCCAACGACACTGAGTTATAGCTCTATTGCCAGGTCGGTAATTACAAACCGACCTACTAGGTCTTCCGGACACGTTTTCCCAAAGCAACCACAGTCTTTCACAGAGCAAATTACATGAAACAATGGTTACATGCATAGACTGTACATACTGCATCCGACTGATTTTTATGGGGATATATCTCGTACTCTACGATGTCATCGTTCGGGCAAAATGACCATAGGAGTTTTCATTCCTAGGCTGTCGATTTTTCACAGAATCGTGTAACTAGCATTTTATTGAAAATGTTTGTATGTAAGAAAGTCGATTCTCAATATTCAAAAACTTGCTGTTTTACATCATTCATCGTTTACCAAAAATCTGTGTATACGGCGTGAAAGGTGGTAATTTGGAGGACGAAATCTCCACTTATGCCCGATTTCGGGATGTGCCCACTTGTTCAACGGCGACACTTTTTGATCGGTGAGGATGTCATATAAACTTTGTCAGCATTCATCGCTTTCCATGTGCACCCGGCTTCTTGGTTTCGCCGAAGTTCCCGATAAAATTCAATCACTTTTGGATTGGCTCGAATCACATCAGGTCGCCAGTCCAAGAGGCGCAAGCCTGACAACGTGCGACACCGGCTTAGTGCCACGTAAGCTTGGCCGCACTCGAAAACCTGGAAGTGGAAATGAGGGTAGTTAGTTGATGAGGTAATTACACCGATGTGGTGGCAATGAAGAATGCTGAAGGTTGTGTCCAAATCAATGATTGAAAAGTCGACGCGCGATTAACTACAGTGTCGTAGGCTTAGGTTGGCTCATTGTTAATAAACAACAACCGCGTGTGTTATTAAAAGCCAAGTTGATCGACGCTAGCTTTCATCTTACCAGACTGTGATTAGGGTCGATACCACAGCAAATGGCCTCATAACATATGGTGAGAAGACAGGACGTATTAAGGATGTGTTGGGAAATTGATTGTAGGGATTTCTCGGACAACGTTACCCACCGAGCTCTTACTCGAAGGCAACCAACGTGACTGTGCATATACCCGAATTTACAAAATTGTCTCAATCGTACAGAGCAACGCCACGCCTGTGACATTGAACGGAGTGATACGAGGTTCGAGCATTTATCGTCTCCATCATATCACGTATTCAACCACAACTTCCTGATCCCTCTTAATTCACTCAGACTTTCTCCTAATGTCACGATTGCGCGTCCTGTCAACAAGAGATCAGTGCTCGACCGAATGCTGTTCAGTTTGGCCTATGATAACGTTTGTGCTCAGCAGAACTTGCGCGCAAATCTACTGCGTGCGACTATAGCGTAGTTGTCGATTTATGACGATCAGATACAACACTGGAACACCAAACGTGCACGTTGGGGGTAAGGCAAACTATTTTCCTTTCTCTAATCAGACGTGCAAGTGAGAGGTACCGAGCTTATAGACGTTATAACCCAATCATTTTATGCTGAGAGCAACTGAGTTATCGAATATGCCATCGTTACGGCAACAGACGACTGTTGGGGGTTGATGAACTACGCCGGAGTTAACTTGGGTCACCACGAAATCCAACCACAGACATCTGACTACGTATGTACTTAATCTGATCACAGGGAGATGGGCTGTCGTTTGGTGGTTGTATGCGAAACCATAGCATGGAACACAGACCATTCGATCTTGCCGACAGGGTCGTTTGGATAGTTGCCATATGATGGTTTTTTCAAGGAAGCTTTAATGCACCCAGAAGGGTGGATATTCAGCTGTTACACACTCGCCGTCAGTGTTATAAAAAGAATACAACCCAAAACAGTGGATACACAAGTAGGTTAATAGGTGACGTAGACAGCAATATGGTTACAATGCAAACTTGCTTGTAAACGGAGGTCTGGCCGCACAAAAAAACCCGCCAAATACGGAATTACGGATGAGCTGTAAAAATTTGTACAAGCATAAATAGATCTATACTTTTATCCTGATTGAGAAAGTTGATACACAGATAGTGCACCATGAAGAGGGTGATTTGCATTGACGAGTATTTTTGAAGCGAGCCCTTTACATGTACTGATCTTAGTAGGCACAAGAATATCAACAAAGGTCGGCTTTGGAATGCCATTAGGACACTTGCGTCAATGACCTATCTAGGATTTTGAAATGCTTCTTTAAGAAACCGAGAAATGTCACAAGGGAGCGTAAGTTCAGTGGGATAAGACACAAGTGGTAATAAATAGCGGAGATAGAGAGGAGGATCGCAAACGAGCAGCGTAGAAAGAAAGCTTCCTCACTTTTGTAAAAACTCCATAACATGAAGTGATTAAAAAAGATCACGACTGAGTGTGACATCTAGATACTAGGCAGACTTAGTGGAGTACAACCTCTCATCATCTATGTGAACTTCAGGGCGATCCATGAGAAGTTGATGATAACGACGGTGTTTATGTAGGGAAAAAGGAACGTCATTGTATTTTAACGCATTCAGCGAAAAAAGTAAGCTCTGGTTGTCCAGATGGGCTTGTAATTTGGTTGATGAGGCTGCGCTTGGATATTGGATACCCAAAAACACGTCATCTGCAAACTTCAGCAATATCGCTTCATCAGGGGCGACGTAAGTGGAGAAGTGGTGTGGAGACAGTATGGCTCCTTGAAGAACTCCGGTGGCTGTATTGAGCAGCGAGGAATTTTTACCCCAAGTCGACCAAACTGGTCAAGTCCACTGAAGTAGTCCCTCAGCAGGCGGATGTTAGAAGGTTGAATTTCCGGCCTCTTAAAAGAAACTCACGGCTTACATTGCCGTAAGCATTACTGCAGTCGAACGGGTGGGACCTTGTTGTCTATTGACCCAGGCACTGGCTGTACGAGATAGTCTAATGCGTCTTGAGTAGACCTCAAATTACGATAAGCAAACTGGAGCGGATCGTCTGAATGAGTCTGAGTCAGCATCTTTTCATGAATAATTTCGAAGACCTACAATTTTACTGGGGTACAGGCAATTGACCGGTATTTATATGAATTTTTCCTTGACACTGGTGTAATCTTAGCACTTCTCTAATAGCCAGAAATCTTGCATTCTGTCATGTGCAACATGTACAGGTAAGTAAGAAGTTGTGCCAGAGAATCGGTACACACCTTGAGGACAACTGGATAGTCCGTTCGGACCGCTTGCTTTGTTGGAATTTAGCTGCCACAGTTTATTGTGCACTGTATTTCTGTCGACTGCAGATAAAGACCTTGTGAGTATGGCCAGTCGAGGGAGGGGGGTTAAGAAGGTTGACAAGTGGAGTTAGCATTGAAGCGACAAAAGTTGCTGTTCAATTCTTCAAGGTCCACGTCTAAATTCGACACTCGGTGAGAGACTCTAAAATGCCAGACCTCACGGCAGCTATTATTTCCGAGCACAGTCTGGACATATAATAAGTGGTTTAAATGGCGCAACTAACTTGATAGAAAGAAAGAGAACAATCTCATGCAACCCATCCATCTACCACTAAGGATAGGATGTCTCCTCTTGATTATCTGGTCTTTCCAATGGGTCGTAGCAGTAGTCTGCTACGATGACTGGGTTGTTTCATCATCATTACGATGATGCGATATAATCCTGTCAACCTATGCGCTTCCTTTTCTAGTCGACCGGGAAATCATTTTATAGCGAGCGTGCACAACAACAAGCACTTGGCATAGCAACGGCATCGGTCCAATTCTTCGCTTTGAAGGTAACATCGAGAGAAACAAGGATTGTAATGTCATGCGACTGAACGACTTGAGCCCCTTGTTCCCCATATTCTCGGTTACAATCCTAGCGCATAATCTACGGTATGATGAATAAATAAAAGCCCTAACTCCTAATCCCTTTACTGACGGGCCTGACCAAAGTCCGGCGCTTCGCTAAAATCGTCCGTTAGGAATGCCACGAGTTATGTGCACCGCGCGGACAAGGAGCTAGTAGGTAGTGAAGCTAGGCTGCTGGAAAATTTCACCACGAATGGCACCACTGTATGGTCACCTACATACTATGAGCCGTGCTAAAGAACACCGGAAATGTAGAGTTGCCTCTACTCGGTTTACGCGATCTGCGTTGTTCTAATCACAACTGCACAAGAACGTGGCAAATTCGGACAACCAGAAAAGTATAGTTTATCTTTACATAAACCTAGACGCATGTTGGGCAGTAGTTACCTTCGATAAGGCGAGTTCAGCAGACTCCAGTGTTATCCCTTGACTCTTGTGTATGGAGACGGCCCAAGCTAACGCCAACGGCAGTTGGCGTCGATATACTTCGCTCTGTCCGAAATTGCCTACTCGAAGACTCCACTTTTCACGCTGGACAGCAAGCAACAGGTTGGAAGATGCGGAACCAGCCGAAGCAGCTTTTTTGACAACGAACCGAACCAGGGGCAAGCCCTCATCAACTCCGAGACGTTCAACTACCCCACGCGCTCCATTTACAAGCCCCCGATGAGTGTCCACGTTGCGCAGAAGCATCACCTGCAACAGATATAATATGTGTAGCTCACTGCTTGTTGAAACCCTCCTAGATAGTTTTCTAAATTAGGTGTCCAACTCACCTGAGCCCCAACTTTCAGTCGAAGCTCGGATGGAGCCGGGCAAATGGTGTCCAGAAGTCGTTCATATTTGGCATTCGAGTCCTGAGCTCGATACACCTTTTCTTCACCTATGTACCCAATGGAAAGTGGAAAGGATGAATTAAACTGAAATGGGATCAAACCACTTTGCAAGCATTTCACTTGCCGAAATTAGCCTCACGTACGTAAGCTTGACTTTCGTCGCGTTTGGTACCCGTCTTTTCATTTACTACACAACCGACGTTCTAAGACTGATTTTATCACCATTTATGGGAGGTGATTTCATTTATACTGAGTTACATTTGATGATATTGGTTGATATATTCATATTCTGGAAGCATATAAGCGCCATACTCAGCACAATAGAATGAAATGTGCTTATTTAGGTGACCTGGAGAAGATTTTCAAGAAGATGCAGTTCAGTGTTTTCACCGTCTCTGACAGTCATTCGATCGCGAGGACAGCATTCACAAAGGAAACACGAGTGTCTTACTCCTCGATGTTCATCGAATACTAGGGAGTATTCGAATAAGCTCATCATGTAGACTGTAATTGTAGTCTCTTCTGGGTGGTTAACGAGTTCACTTCTTTTGTTGTTGACCACTTCTAACAACCTTATTACAGTCGATCGTGTGCCAAACGATCATAGTAATAGAGGTCTCAGACAGGGCTGAGACGGTAGATGGTAATCATAAAAGGACTTAAAAACGTCAAAAATACCTTTCAGAGCACTAAGCATCTTCGAATTCCATGCCTCAGCATCGGCTCTGTGAGTGCAAAGTCTCGTCGCGGTCAGATCGTCTTTTTTGCGGGAATCGATACTTATGTTCGATTGCAGACGTGACTTCAGTAACGACTGCGCCCACTCCGGACAGATGCCTTCTCTCGCGCTTGACAGCAATCGTGCCAGAACTGGATCATCTGACTGACGCCAAGAGTGAGACAGTTCGATACAAGTGAAGTTGCAACGCTTCCATGACGGAGATTCGAAAGCAAATTTTGTTGGTCCCTGCAACAATGAGAAGTTTGTAATCGTGTGTGCATGAAAAAATTCAATCGGTTAATGAAACGTATGGCATAAGATTTCACGAGGCATGGACTATAGCGGGCGAACGAAGGTCACATCACACAGACAAAATTTAATGCTGTGTAAATTACACAGTAAATAAGACGGATGGAATGCTTAGTAGATTTATTAATGTGTTGCGAAGATTCGTCACAGCTAGATTCAGACGGACAGCCACCACACATACATGGAAGCGCTAGACGGCAGTTTCGTCATATTGGGACTCACCGAATCCCGCCGGATTCGAACCCCTGACCTCACTCTTACGAGTCAAGGACTTATGCGCTGAGCCATGGGTGACGGCAGCGGACCGCCATGACTGACATCTAACTGCAATATAGCGCGGCTCATCCTCCACTATCATGCATGTTATGAACGTGCAGAGGATAGGGTTGCCCCCAGAACAATGAATTCCTTTGTAACCCGCCACAAAACGAGGTGACATGTAAGCTGCTAAAGTGGTTACTGATTATTAGTGAGTAGTATGTATGTTTAGTGGATCGGATCGCTTAACCAGAGATCGCCATATTTTGCCTTAACGAGTACAAAAGCATATGTTTATCAAATGATAATCACTGTCTACTGTGAAAAGTAAAGGTGTATAAATCTGTTGTTTAGTTTTTGAGTAGCCGTGGATGCGCTCGGAATGCGATTGGGGCCACGATTTGCCTCGAAACCAGGACAATTCAGATGATTGGGATCGCATCCAAAGCGGTTTTGCTGTTACTGTCTCCTAACAGTGCGGGTGGTTATTGATGGATCCATAATGTAATGAAGAAATCACGCAACATATTGCCATGTGGATTAAAGCCGAAAGTCAAAACAGTGACATAATGCAGAAAATGCCGGTTTTCATAGCTTTTATGTTCAGGTCAGTTCCACATAACAACCATGATCCGCAAGCCCAGCTCCGATAGAACTGTGGCCGGCAACGATAGAAGCTTTCTTAAAACAATCACTGAACTAAAAGTGACGTGTGTAAATACTGGTGTCTGGGGGGATTGGACATGCTGGTAGCGCGCCGGAATATTGGGGCATATTTTAGCCGTAGAGTGTTGGCTGCATCCTGTGCAGTTTGAGCACATCCGTTTTCTAAGGTGAGTGGGGGAACGCCACGCCTCACTCACACACATGTTTATACAGTAGACTTTCATAGAAAACCTTTTCGCTAGGCACTGCCGGCACGTTAAGCGGTGTACAGTGACTACGATGCACCAAATAGTTGCTCTAGTTGACAGGACTAGGGTTAGCTCTGTACTCACGTCACACTGCGTCTCTTACTGTCATGTGTTTTCGATTTCTGCTCCGAATGAATGTGCTCTTACAGAACGAAGGGACTTGTTAACCGATGCTGATTTAATCAGATCGCTGAACTTGCCAACAAACTCCATCCAAGCAACGTCAATGGAACAGTCGTCCGAAAACCCAGATGGCTTCTCCAACAAGTTTTGTTAGCATATCGTAGTGTGTGATTGTTCGAGACAAGTCACTATGTTTTCGTGGATATTCCGCATAACACACAGTCATAAATTGTTACCTGGTCACTCCGCCTTAGAGGACTCTCTATCTTGCCTATCTCGATCATGAGCTCTTCATTCACTAAAGCAAGCACAGATGGTTTGCTTCCCTCTATGAGTCGGGTGGGCGAACTGTTACGACTGAAGAGCGGAATGCTTGCAATATGCTCCTTCAAGTCGGCCTTAAATTGCTCGTTGGGGAATGCCGAAACTTCCAGATCGTGAACAACAAAGTAGCCTGAGATGAGAATATGGCTGCGTCATCGTCGTAGGACCCTTCCCAAGGCTAATGTCAGACGGTAGTTTATCTCTGAGCTGGACATTGGGGGGCGATAAACATCTGCTACAAAGCAAGTGTCATTGCATCTTAGTCGCAGACTGCACCGGAGTGAGTCCATCATCAGCGTTTCCAGATCGGCCACAGGTTCGCACTGAAGGTCATCACGGTAGCATAAAATTACCCCCCAATCGCGTTAGGGCGATCGTTTCGAAAAAGAGACATACCATCTAACGCGACTTCGGAGTGGGTAATTTCTGAGTGCAACCAAATTTCTGTTACGAATATGAGGCCCCAGGCATAGGATACATGACGTAGCCGCAGTTCAGCAGGCCTGTTCATGGTGCTTTGTGCATGTGGAAAAGTTTCGCTGATTTCAATAGAGAGTCGAGGGACGTATGTTTGGGTTGAGATGTTGCGCTGACTTGTGAAAGGTCAGTCACTAGCCATTTCTTAAGTTGGGCGGAGACGAACTAATTCGTGTCGGATCGACCAATTCCGCCATTTCCTCCTTGCTCATCTCTCTGTGTATAACCTTCGGGGTGTTATCATCGGTTTTGACAGTTAGATGAATAATATCATCTAAATCGTTTTCGGTACATGGGTCATCATCATCATACAGCTACTGTGCCGCAATACACAGAAAAAAGGAGAAAAAACAACTGTGGCAAACCGGCTGAGCTACCGGTAACGGATGGGCATCGTTCCGGTAAGCTACCAGCCGGCTACTGTGCATCAAAAAAAATTACTACGCAAAATTATATAAGGCTAACTAATGAGATCGTGGTTGGAGGGGGAGGCTAAGAGGGGTTCGGTGGGACAAAGAAACTCACAGCATGAACACCACTGAGGTCGGTTCCTAGCCATATCAACAAGTATATCCAGCCAAACGTGTTCATCGTCTTTCTGACCCCAACCAGGGAGCCGAGACGCTCCAACCGAGGCCAGCTCAGAAGTGAGGGCCTTCATTCCTCTCGACCAAATCATCGCTTGGCCACCCCTCCTCTTCTTCCATCCACACCCCCGGCGCGCAAACAACGCAAGTCGCGGGAGTCGGTGGGCTGGCATGCGTAACACGTGGCCGAGCCATCGGAGCCTGGTGCGTGAAATGACGGTGCTGAGAGGTTCATTTCCTTTTCCTGTGCCGTAAACAAGGCGTCGAACACGCTCGTTGTTCACGCGGTGTTCCCACCAGATGTGAGCTAAATTACGAAGGCACCGGTGGTCGAACGTAACTAGCCTCTTCAGGTCTGTTGCTTTAAGCGGCCAGGTTTCACAACCGTACAATAGGGTCGAACGTACTGCTGCATTGTACACTCTAGCTTTCAGGGCAAGAGTGATGTCGCGCCGGCGCCATAAGAAACGAAGGTTAGGAAAAGCGCCCCGAGCTTTTGCTGTACGGTTCGTGATCTCATCCTCAATCCCACGGACGCTGATACAACTTCCCAGGTAGTTGAATTTTTGAACGAGTTCTAGCTGATCTCCAAGGGTCAGCGAAGGAGGCGGTCCAGACCAATCTTGGAGGAACGCTTTGCACTTCGAGGGTGCGAAGCAAAGCCCGAAGTGACGGACGGCTAGTGCTAATCTGTCAAGTGCCGCTTGACACGTCTGGGAGCTGTCACAGATTAGGGCAATATCGTCTGCATACTCCAAGTCAAGAAGTCGTTCTCCTGGGAGCAGATCCACACCTTCTAAGTCGTGTCTTGTAAACGCGATTTCCATGACTTCATCAATAGCTAAATTGAAGAGGAAAGGTGACAGCGGGAATCCTTGTCTCACACCGCTGGAGATAGTAAAGGGCGACGACAACTTGCCGTAAGCCCTCACTCTGCCCGAGGTACGCGCATATAATGCTCGGATAATATTCACATATTTCTCAGGTGCATCTTTCCTGAGTAGACAGTCCCAAAGTGCATGTCCATCCACCGAATCGAATGCACCTTTGATATCGAGGAACACGACAACGGTGGGCCGCCAATATGTGTGACGGTGCTCCAACAACTGACGCGAAGTAAAGATTTGGTCAATGCAGCCACGACCTCGACGAAATCCAGCTTGCTCTTCGCGAATCTGGCTTTCACGCGTGCCAGTCAGTCTGTGAAGGATGACAGAGGCAAGCAATTTGGAGGCGATGGAGATCAGACTGATTCCTCTATGGCTGCCGCATTCCGATCGTGAGCCTCCCTTAAAAATTGGGACTATGACGGAGCGGCTCCAGTCGGTTGGGACAGTTTCCTGTTCCCACGGTTTCGCTAGTGACTCGTGTAAATCATCCACAAGAGCAGGTCTTCCGAATTTGAAAAGGGCTGGAGGAAGATCATCTGGTCCCGCGGCTTTATTTAACTTCAACAGTTTGATCTTATGTTCGACTTCTGAGCGAGAGGGTGGATCCAAAGGAACAGCCCAGGGAGCAGGTCGGTCAATGGTCGGCGAGAAGTCGAACAATTCCGGCCGATTAAATTGCTTTTTCAAAGTGCTCAGCCTAATGCTCCAAGCGTTTTGATAAGTTGTGGATAAACTGTACATTTTCGTCACGTATAGTTTCACTAACACCAGGTCTCCTGCTGCCCGTTTCCCGTATCAGCCGGGATAACTTACGATGGTTATCAAGGGCAGCGGCCACTTTCATCTGATGGAAGATGAGACCACCAAGATTCGCGGTCTCTCTTCAGGCTAGCACGGAGTTTTGTACGGATCTCTGCGAATTTCACTGTGTTCGCTTCCAGCCGGAATATGCCGGCGAGCATCTATAGGTTCCAGAGACTGTGAAGAGACCCAATGTCCATGTCGGTGATTAGACATACCACATGAGGATTTGCCTGCTGGTAGTAAGGACTAGTAGATTGAATGTCGTGGTAGCTATGCGCCCTTTCGAGCATCAACATCGTTAACTATCCAAACAAAAATATAATGCGAAGAGTCACAAAAACATGGGATACTAGTACGCTAGCAGGCCTGAGTATAGCAACCCACGATGAATAAGATTGGATGGTTAGCAAGATAACTAGTGGGTGTGGTGTTACTTACGTTCTTGGTTACTGGAGGAAGTTGAAAGAAGTCGCCGAAGACTAGCACTTGAATCCCTCCAAATGGCGGAATATTAGTGCGCTCCTCAGATGGGCAACGAGTTTCTAATGCAAGTAGTTCCAGTCGTGTAAGCGTCCAAGAACTGAGCATACTTATTTCATCAATAATCAGGTGGCGCGTTTTTCTCCATCGAGAGACTACGGAAGGGAGAGATAGCAGTCGAGCTCGTAATGAAGACAACCAGGCTTCAGACGCTTCTTTAGTTTCGTTGCTGTCGGACGCGAATAAATCACCAATGCCACTGAACGCGTGCACAGTGGTGCCTCCGATCAGATTGGCAGCTGTCCCAGTGCTGGCTGTAACAGCAGTGTAGTCCGGTGGAAGGATACCTAAGGAGGAATAACGAATCTGGCCATCATTTTGATGCAAGGGCGAGATATCACATAAAGCTCTAAATTACCTTACATATCCTACACCCCAGTACAAATTTTGGGGTTGTAGTTGAGCAGTAAAATGAAGAGAGCAAGTATGTCAACCCTAGGTAAAAAGTGCAATCCGAGAACAAAGTAGTTTCATCGCAATCGGTGGAAGCTTAAGCTGTGTGTGTGTGACCAAGTTTGTTCCCAACGGCTAGTACACCTTATCTAACCGGTGTCAAAAGGCAGTAGGTTGCAACCCATCATTCATTCCGGATGACCTCACCTTCCATAAAGGAATTGTAACGTTGATCGTTGTGCATACATTATTATTATTATTATTAGGAGTATTAAGCCCAGAGCATTGAATTTGCCATAACTTTACATATTGATTTCCCATTAATTCTCGTCAGCCGCCAGACTGACAATTACAGTGATAGTTGGCGTTTGGAGGCGCAGCCGACGACATCCATAAACTAATGGGTATTTACTTGTTGTGTACTTCGTGTATAATTACATTCTAACTACGATGAGTCGCTCCGACTACCGTGTATGATACAGTATAGCCGCATCAACACCAGTTGATAAGCATTCGTAGCAGACAGATAACTACTAAAGGAGAGAAACAACTAGAAATATGGGTCCTTCCGATGAGCTAATCAATTTACCTCCGAAGTATCAGATTTTATCAACGGATCACAGCACACTGCATTCCTGGGTGATAGGCAATGAGAAAATCTCGTCAGCAACGAAGTCGACGACCTCACAGTTCAAGAAGCGCTTGGCATCAGAAATTGCATCATAGCATGAATAAGCCACTAGCGTGTTGGTACTGCGTCTCCAGTTCAGTTAAACCAAACAACTGATTCAAGAATCGAGGTACAGTGGATTAACTTATCAGAACTTGTGTTGCCATGATAGTAATAATTGGTAATGGTGAGGAAATTGAAGGAAGACAGATATAGAGGCAGGTGAAAAAGTGAGTGAATCGGAAGATAGCCAATTAGACAAGAGAGATCGAATAAAGGAGCACCGTTGTCTGCGCGAGTGCACCATGTCTGATGCAGCCTCCAGCGAATGCTGTGGCCAATCCCGAGGACCTCGTCCATAAATACAGTGTACAGGTTTTTAATGACTTTTTGTCACGTCATCGGATGGTAACCCATCGTTTTCCATCACATTAAACTATGCGTAATCGTCTGCCCAAACATTTACGTCTGCCAATCCCCTGCATGAACTCTGTTCCTTACCAACATGGTCGTTTAGTGCTTTAATACCCCTGTTTCCTCGATATCCGAATCACCCCCTCATTTCTGTCAGCGGCATCACCCTCTGAACTGCGTTCTGTCCTGCTTGTCTTTCTACCGTCTCTCTGTGCACCCACACACATCCACTCAGGTTTCACTGACCTTGACATCACCCAAACGCTCGTACGCCCACTCTTGTGTTGGGTCCTGACACGAGGCGATCTTGTATTGATCTGATTAGAGCCGCATTGGTTGGTGCCTTTGTTCAGATTCCACGACCTGTCTGTACATCGTTACATGTTTCCCTAGGCTCTGTGCGAGATCATTTGAATGTATTTTGGTTCATGGATCGACCTGGGTGATTTGACTCAGAGATTGCTTTTGCATTGAAGGACATTGGGTGCATTTGAGTTTGGCAAGTGTTAAGGTATTGCTCGTTTTTCTAAGATTATTTGTTCAACAGCACCGTTACCTCAGTTCCGGTTTTTTTTGTTGATTTCCCGGCGGGACACGCGGTGCTTTACGTTCCAAGCGTTTTTAACGCTTACACCATGTAAACGTATTATCGCGTCTCAACCCAGGGAACTATGTATTATCATCTATTAGCGTTCAAACTGGAGTTGGTGCGCTTTGTAGAACAGCAAAATCTTTCTGCCATCATGTAGCAAAGCCACGGATACAACTGAGACTGTAAGAACGACTGTAAGAATATAAGGTAGCAAGCAATGGAGTTACATCGCCAAGGTTGATGAAAAACGCTCCAGAAGCGAACCTCTTAGAAACTCCTTAACGGCGAAACTTCTTATTCGTTTGGCTTTTTATGTGTAACAACTGCGCGGTGCTCTTCAGCCGTTGGTTTACCGAACAAACTCATGGTGCCAGTGGGGTAGTACGGTATTATCTTGTTCTATCGAATGCTTCAGCGGCAGTGTGCCAGGACGTGGTGGGTTTTCGTCTAGCAAACGTTCTCCCTATGAAAGATTACACCTACTTGACTCTCTCTGAGCGGCATTGTGATTCAAAGTGTGTTGGGTGTCTGTTCCATTACGAACCGAAACGTGTATGAACCAATTATTCGGTCACCGGCATCTAACGGATTGCGACGCCCTCACATCGCTTTGCTGTCTTACAGGCTAAATCTTTGACTAAAGGCTCGGAGCAGATCCGCCTAAGACAGCCCTTTACTTCGGTCTGGGCAATCTGGTAGCAGCACGCCTGATGACGGACCGTTTATGCTCTCGCTAAGTCAATTAGCTCTACTGATTCCTTCACTCGCAGATCACCCCAAGCCCCCGTTCTTCAAGTACACGTGCACTTATATCCTCCCCGGTCACCGCCACAAAAGACTCACTGGTCGCACTCATAATATTAGATGCCAAGCGATCGCAGCCTTCTCACATTCCACCGAAGCCTCAGCTTATTTCCTTCGACCTGCTTTTCTATTCTACCTCGCAGCGTTCAGTGTTCGCACTGTAATGCCTGGCCTGCACCCCTGAGACGTTCTCGGTAACGTCTATTAGCTTTCAGAATGGCCTGTCTCGGGAGTCAGAGTACGTCGCCTCTGACTATGGTAGTATTGTGGTTGCACTGAGTGAGAGACCATCGAAATGAGGCTGGACCTTACGTGGTGCGATGGTTTGCGTACTTCAGCGATCCATCGAGCAATGCCTGGTGGTGCTTTTTGCACCTTCAGAAATATGTACTAGAGTGGTCAATGGTTACAGGCCAGAAAAACTCAGTCTCCTGGCCTTTTGGTTCGAAGTTGGGGTGAGAGTGGCTCCTTATTCCTTAAAACGGACTCCTTGTAACACGATGCCGAAGGCTTTGGTTGAGAACCCGAATCGTTTACCTGTCTTGACCTGGGCAACCTGGAAATAACCTGCCCACGCAAATCAATGACTTTACCTTCAAACCATTTATTGATGCTCTGGCCGCCGCAGAGAATAATCAACGGCGCCCTATCCGATGCATCGAGCAGGATGAATAGGGGTTTGGATGCTACTGTTCAAGCCTTCCCGTCTTCTTAAGCTTTTTCACTTATATCGGCCCGTTCCAACTTTCATTCCCCCTCGTTCTCAGCTTCCAATTGTTGGCCCTCCCCCACCTTGCTTTCATAGGTATTAGTCTTTAGTTTTAACATCAGCAAACGCGGAGTGTCACCCTTGCCCTATCGATAAGCCCATGTCTAACCAAGCGGGTCCATCGACCTCTATTTGGAGCCCTCGATCCTTCCTCAGATTGGCATGTTTCAACGTGCGCACAAACTTCTGCTTCACTGTGTGGGTCAAGTGTAACGACCCAGGGGTAGCTGGATTCGCAGCGTATACAAGTGAACCGTGAGGAGCAACTGAATTGCGAATGAAAATGTTCGGCCCATCGATCCAATCGTTTCTGTAGGTTGGCAAGCGGCGGAACGTCTGGTTCGCAAATAGCCTCAGTGACACCGGGCTTCCTGTGTCCATTGGAACGAATGAGTTGGAAAAACATGTGAGTATTGCCAGACAGAGCAGCGGTCTCTATTTCCGAAGCCAGCTGAGACCACCAGGCTTCGCGGTCACTGCGTAGGCTTTGTTTGAGATGCTGACTGACAAATCGGCGCATTTTGTTATGATTAGACTCCGCTGCGATATTCCTGCGGTGGTCAAATTGATCCATGAAGCGTGGAGATCAAGGCCTTTATAGGCTGCTGAGTAAGACCACAGACTGAATGTTCGGAAGCGATCATGGTCTTCTGCATGAGCGCGTCCACTGGTCATCATTCATTGTACACGTCAGCTAAAGGTGAGAAACACCTCAACTACTGTGCCGCAATACATAAATGAAAAAGGAAGATAAATACAAAAGTTGCATGCAACTTGAGCTACCAGAAACGGATAGGCATCGTTCCGGTAAGCTACCAGCCGGCTACTAGGCAATAAGAAAAAACGTATTGTGTTTTACGCTAAGAAATGAGATCGTAGGTGGAGGGGGAGGCTAAAATGGATGGAGGAGGGACAAAGAAACTCACAGCACAAACGCCAATGAGGCCGGCTGCTTGCCATGTCAGCAAATGTATCCAGCCAAACGTGTTCACTGTCTTTTGGACCCCAACCAGGGAGCCTTGACGCTCCAACCGAGGCTAGCACAGAAGTGAGGGCCTTCATTCCTCTTGACCAAGTCATCGCTTGGCCACCTTTCCTCTTCTTCCATCCACATCCCCGGTGAGCAAACAACGCACGTCGTAGAAGTCGATGGGCTGGCATGCGCAACACGTGGCCCAGCCATCGGAGCCTGGTACGTGAAATGATGGTACTAAGCGGTTCATTTCCTTTTCCTGTGCCGTAAACAAGGCGTCGAACACGCTCGTTGCTCACGCGGTGTTCCCACCAGATGTGAGCCAAACTGCGAAGGCACCGATGGTCGAACGTAACTAGCCTCTTCATGTCCACCGATCTTAGGGGCCAGGTTTCGTAACCGTACAGTAAGGTCGAACGTACCGCTGTATTGTACACACTACCCTTCAGGGCGAGAGTAATGTCGCGCCGCCGCCATAGGTGGCGAAGGTTAGCAAAAGCACTTCGAGCGTTTGCTATCCGGTTCGTGATCTCGTCTTCGATCCCAAGGACGCTGATACAACTTCCCAGGTAGCTGAATTTCCGAACGACTTCTAGCTGATCCCCACCAAGGGTCAGTGTAGGAGGCGATCCCTGCCAATCTTGGAGGAACGCTTTGCATTTCGATGGTGCA